TTTTATCCCCAAATGTTTACCTTCTTTGTCCCAGTCTATACTTAGGGTCTGAGCAATTTGAACATCAATTCAGCTATAAAGCTCCTTTCTAACTCAGTGTTTAACTCGGAAGCCAGAAATGTTGCACCATAGCTTGCTCATACTTCTTTTTAAAATCTTAATCTACATTTTAAGTAGATGGCAGTATGTCTGGATAGTGCCCATCCACAAGAAGGTAACAAAGAGTCTGTTCCATTATAGGCTCGCCACTTTGTCAATTTAGTCATGATTTAATCAATTAATGCCATTGCTATGGAAATTACTACAGAACAAATATTGTAGTCTTTAAGTACAGAGCAATCCTTTTACATTTTAAATCAATATTAAATCCTTTTAAAATCTCTGGTTTCTTCTCAAAACCAGAACAAAGGATGCTTGCTTTGTTGCAATCTTTGCCTCTAGTATAATCTTAATAAGAAATACGAAGACTCATGTACTCTGCCTAAAGGTTTTGATAAAGGTATTTTTTAAAATGTGCTGCATGTTTATACTAAAAATAGAGAAATTATAAGCACTTTTAAAGGATAATCCAATTATTAATTGAATTACATTCTCAAAGAATTAGAGACATTTAGTGAACAAATGAAGGCTAAATTTTCAGAAACGTTGCCCTTGCACGATCAATATAATTGCAAAAGTCAATATGAAATTGACTATTATTCTGTAGAAGTTACAATACTTTCTCTTTAAATACTCAGTCAATATTACCAATTTTTGCACTTAAGCAAAACATTGGGTGAAACGCTGACATTACCAGAAAAATTTATTAATCTTTGGCAAGTAACAAACCATATTTAGTAGCTGCATTTCCTGTTTTACAGATGTTTTGTTAGAATGAGTTAATAAAATATCTTATTATTATTTGAAGAGTATTTTAGTTATAGTGAGAAAGCGGCAGATATGAACAGCTTTGATTTTAGTAATGTGTGTCTCCTTAAGCCTCTTAATTGTAGAGACTGTTGGTAATATTAATTAAGATTTACCAAAAGAGAATCAGGATATCATTGTTTGGGAACTAAAGAGGAAGAACAGGGTAAAATGAAACCAGAAATTAGTGGTATTTCCACCATCAAATTAAAAATGTTAAAAATTTTAGAAAATATATCACAGTTGAAATGATTCAAGTGAAACTATGATTAGACTTTAGTCACCACCCTTGTATTCTTATTATTCATTTTAGCTGTGATCATATTTTCTATAAAAGTTTATATCCTGCTTTAAAAAATAAAATTTTTAAAGTAGCCAACATTTTGGTTTCACCATTTATTATCATGTCAAAAAATGCATAGCTTGAAAAAAATCTCAAACACATTGCATTGTGGAAAATATTAACAGCATTTGTAAAAGCAAATTAGGTGAGAATAACTCGAACATCAAGTTATTACAATTATATGAATTGTATGGTGGTTGGTAGGGTACCAGGGAGCAAAATGTATGATTATCTGATTTATTTGATTCTGGTAGTCTAAATCTACAGATACTTGAGCCAGAGAAGTATACTTTGGAGCTTGAATTGCCGAATTTCTAGCTACCTTGATTTTATATAAATATATATGTAGTATTTATAACTATACACACATATGCTTATGGAAATGTGTAAACATAGCATCAATACCCTTCAGCCAAGGAAGCCAGGAAGTCACCTGTAGTTGAACAAGTTTGGTTCATTACTTGTTGCAGTGAGGGAGAACACACATCACAAAATTATGGGTGTTTTGGTAAGAGGGTGTTAGAAAGAACCTTATAGGATCTGGGCTTTGATTGGGTGATTTGAGGCAGGGTCTAAGGCAGCAGGGATTCCCTCTGGATTGAATGCTGTTAGAAAGTAGAGCATCCAATCTAGAGGGAATGAGGGGGGATCTTATAGAAAGGGGAAACTCTAGTGAGACTAAAAGTGTCATTGGTAAATAAGTAACACTCATTTTGGCCAAGAAATGCTTCATGGGTGGCACAGTGACTTGCTTTTGTCTGTACGTAGACAAAATTATGAATTGCCCTTGCTTGGTCTTATTTAATCATGGTCTCAAAGTAGCCTGGTCAGAGGCTGGTTTTCTGTGATGGTTCACATCTAATGGGAGAATCACAGGGTCTACCTGTGAGAGCCAGGCCAGCTTCTTGGTGTCAAGGACTGCTTTTTTTCCTTCTTCAATAGCTTCAGTCATTCTTATCCTATAATGGGCAGATCTTACAAGTTTGTATGTGCCTTTTTGTCACACTGCCAAGTACAATTCAATTTTAGGTTGAGTTAGTTACAAGAGAACAGAAAGAGAATATTCTTCCCAGAAAGAATAATTCAGTGCTACTCATACTCACTGGCCCCCTTTCTACATAGTTGATGCTTCAAGAGCAGAGTCTTCTCCCAATCTGATGCTTGAGGGCTATGTTGCTTTCTCTATTGTCACTTGATGAGCATTTGATGGCAGAAAAATTTGGTAAAAGAGAACAATCTTTGCTCCTGAGAGAAATAATGATAAACATGGATTTTAATTTTGCTTTGAAAGAAACATTCTTACAGATTTTTTAACAATATAGAGGGGAAAAATTCTTCCATTACCTTTAATATAATGTCTCCCTGCTCTGATTACCACTAAGCATTGCCAAAGGTTATTTGGCACTGAATTTTTCTCCTGCGCCCCACCCAGTTTTTTTTTTCTTTTTACTAACAACCAAACATGTATTGCTTCCAGCATTTAGAAGACTATCTGATTTTCTACTCACAGGTATTAAAGTTGCTGCCTTCTTATTCTTTGAAGAACAACCTGCTTGACTCTTGTTAGTGTAACTAGTACAGATTAGTACTGAAAGTAATTCACAGATTATTTTATATTGGATGTAATCAATTTGTTTTCATTTTTAAAATTGGGAATACCACAAGCCACGACTGCCTAGCTATCTGCATAAATATTTACTTGAAAAATATTTGCTCAGCACATGCTATGTTTCCATATTACTTTGTCCCAGGCATAGGGACACCAGGGAGGGAAGGAAGGTGAAGAGCCCAATCTCTGGAGTCCTAAGGCCTGGGTTGGAATTCCTGCTCAGCCACTTGCTAGTCGTGTCATCATAGGCAGGCAGTCGATCTCTCTAGATTCTACATTTTTCCTCTGTAAAATGTGGGTAAGCACAATAATACCCTTAATGCTGCTGGATGGCTGAAAGAGATCATCCGAATTAACTGCTCAGTGCAGTGCTCAGCAGTTAGTACTCAGTGAAATCATTGTTATTTTTTGACAATATAGTGGTGAATTTCTAGATGCTATTCTTCCCTCAAGGAACTGACTGGTTTTGCTAGCTGGTGAAATTGGAGGGATTTCGCTTATTCTTGGGAACGGTATTAGGAGGCAGGAAGAGAAGGCACTTAGTGAGACCTGATGGATGAGTGACAGTTGTCCTGACAGTGGTAAAGGGTGAGGGAGAAGGGAAGGAATGAGGCTTGTGGAGAACAGGATGGTCTCAGCATTGGGGATACAAAACCAAGTGTTGGATGTGACAGAGGAGAGAATCACAGGCAGTTCCTTGTTGCCATATTGTGGAGTGGGTAGAAAGGGAGGTAGGTGGTGAGAACTGCAGCTGGGGAGTCCAGGTAGGACCAGATCTCAAGGGACATGTGTTCAAAGCTTAGTACTTTAGACTTTACCTTGAAGACAATAGGGATCTGGAGTCAGTCTGTCAGTAATGGTCTCCTTTTCAAAAAGGTACTTACATAATTTTTTTAAATGATAAAGGAAATTAATTACAGAAAGGGCAGAGTTCATTGTTTTCTCTGAGTACACTGACCATTGCCCGTGTGAGCCTGGTCCTCTCATTTAATTTCTCCTGCTCCTCCTTCCCTACCCATTTCTTTCTCCTACTTCTTGCCATTTTAAAGACACCCATTTTTTTTTTTTTTAACTTCCAGGGTATATGTGCAGGATGTGCAGGTTTGTTACGTAGGTAAATGTGTGCCATGGTGGTTTGCTTCACCTATCAACACATCACCTGGGCATGAAGCTTAGCATGTATTAGCTCTTTCCCCTAATGCTCTCCTCTTCCACCACCCTTCCTGACAGGCTCCAGTGTGTGTTGCTTCCCTTGCTGTGTCCATGTGTTATCATTGTTCAGCTCCACTTATAAGTGTGGTATTTGGTTTTCTGTGCCTGCATTCGTTTGCTAAGGATGTCTATGCAAAGGACATGATCTCAATCCTTTTTGTGGCTGCATAGTATTCCGTGGTGTATATGTGCTACATATTCTTTATCCAGTCTATCATTGATGGACATGTGGGTTGATTCCATGTCTTTGCTATTGTGAACAGTGCTGCAATGAACATACACATGCATGTACCTTTATAATAGAATGATTTATATTCCTTTAGGTATATACCCAGTAATGGGATCCCTAGGTCAAATAGTATTTCTAGTTGTAAATCTTTGAGGAATCACTACACTATCTTCCACATGGTTGAACTAATTTACATTCCCACCAACAATGTAAAAGCGTTCCTGTTTCTCCCCAGCCTCACCAGCATCTGTTGTTTCTTGACTTTTTAACAACTGCCATTCTGACTGGCATGAGATGGTATATCATTGTGGTTTTGATTTGCATTTGTCTAACGAACAGTGATGTTGAGCCTTTTTTTCATGTTTGTTGGTTACATGTAAAGACACCCATGTTTTGGTGAAACCCCGTCTCTACTAAAAATACAAAAAATTAGCTGGGCATGGTGGCGCGTGCCTGTAGTCCCAGCTACTCGGGAGGCTGAGGCAGGAGAATTGCCTGAACCCAGGAGGCGGAGGTTGCGGTGAGCCGAGATCGCGCCATTGCACTCCAGCCCGGGTAACAAGAGCAAAACTCCATCTCAAAAAAAAAAAAAAAAAGACACCCATGTTTTTTAATGTGCTTGACATGGCCTTAAATATGTATGCATCCTTGTAAAGTACATAGTGTTGTTCTTTGTGCCTTTTAAATTAACCTACATGGTATTCTGATAAAAATAATTTCCTGCATCTAAATTTTTTCATTAGATACAAAGCATCTGTGTGTATATGCACATCAATCACTGTGTCACATTGCTGTACACATAATCCATATACGATATACATTGTAGCATTATTTATAATAACAGTTTGAAATAACCTACTTACTGCATACTAGGAAATAGATAACTAATCCTATACCAGCAATGTTAAATATCATGCCTCCATTAACAATGATAGCTCTTGATATGAAGGGATACAAGCTTATGACACTGTTAAGTGAGAAAAGCAGACGAAATAGTCTAAACTGTGACAACCACAAAAATACACATTCATACAGCCAAGGGCTGGAAAGGATCAGAGAAAAATAAAAACAGGTATGAGTATCTGAGCAAGGGAATCTTGGGTAACATTTCTCATGTACAGTAGCTCCCCCATTTCAAGTTTCACTTTCTAAGGTTTCAGTTACCCCCAGTTGACCTTGGTCCAAAAATATTACATGGAAAATTCCAGAAACAAACAATTCTTAAGTTTTAAATTGTGCAGCGTTCAGAGTGGTGTGAAGAAATCTTGCACCATCCAGCTTCATCCTGCAAAGGACTTGAATCCACCCTTCGTCCAGCAGATCCACACTGCAGAAGCTCTTCTCCTCATGAGTCACTTGGTAGCTGGAAGATACTGATGCTGGCATATTGTTAGAATTGTTCTATTTTATTATTAGTTATTGTTGTTAATCTCTTACTAGGCCTAATTTACAAATTAAACTTTGTCATAGACATGCAAAGGAAAGAGCAGTAGATAGAGGGTTTGGTACTATCTCCAGTTTTAGGCATCCACTGGAGGTTTTGGATCCCATCCTCCAGGGACAACGGGGTGCTTCTGTAGCTGTAAGCTGATGGTGTGCTCAGAGACTTGCATTATACACCACAGCATCTTCTACAGTTTTAGGGGAGAGGGAAGATCAGTACACTACCAATCTGCTGCTCCTCACCCCAAAATTGGCAAGGAGCGCCTCTCTTCAGCCAGAAAGGCCTCCTTTCCACCAGCTGTGTCCTGCAATCAACTGCAGCTGTATTTGTCTCACCCACCATGGGAAACAGGTTTGAAGTTAAAAACGTTTTCAGAGGGCTGAGATAAATTTAGTGCTGCTAAATTTAATTATTTTCAAGATTAAACATGAAAAGCAAAGTTCCTGAGTTATGTATATTATTCTTTCAATTGTGCAAAAATAAGACATAATTTGTTTTTGCATGGAAAAATTCTTTAAGAATAGACGAGAAATGTTAACAGTTTCCCCTGGGGAGGGAGATTGGGGATCTGGGATAAAAGAGAGACATCATGCTTTTCTTTAAAAATATATATATAATTGTTTAGGCTTTTGTGGAATTTTTTTTTCTTTTCTTTTTTTTTTTTTTGACAGAGTCTAGCTTTGTAGCACAGGCTGGAGTACAGTGGTGGGATCTCAGTTCACTGCAACCTCCATGTCCTGGGTTCCAGTGATTCTTGTGCCTCAGCCTCGGGAGTAGCTGGGATTACAGATGTGCACCACCATACTCAGCTAATTTTTGTATTTTCAGTAGAGACCACATTTCACCATGTTGGCCAGGCTGGTCTCAAACTCTTGACCTCAAGTGATCTGCCTGCCTTGGCCTCCCAAAGTGCTGGAATTACAGGCGTGAGCCACTGTGCGTGGCCCATGCTTTTCTCGCAAGTATGAAAGGAGTATGTACTTTCTTCTTAAAAACTACGTACCAGGAGAGAGATCCAAGATGGCTGATTAAGAGTAGCTCAGGATTGCAGCTTCCAGTGAAAGCACAGAGAGTGAGTGGACACCGCACTTCCAGAAGGATTTGTATTGCCCATGGACCAGGAGATTCTCAGGTGGAGGAGCCCCATGGGTCACCAGTGTGACTCTTTTGGCCGGCGCGGCTGTCTTGCCGGTGCCCCCGTGCGGCAGTTCTCAACACAAAGTACACGGGACTGGGTGCCCTTTTAGCTGGCGAGTGGAGCTCTGGGAGGGCAGAGTCGCCCATTCAGCTGATTAGAAAGGGGGACTGAGACGGCGAGCCAGGCCAGGAGATTCCCAGGCAGGAAAGCACCACGAATCTGAGCGCCACTGTTTCAGCTGGTGCAGTGGGTCACCGCACAGGAAATCACACAGCAGCTCTGAGTGAACAACGGAGCCCACAGCTCAGCACTTGAGCTCCTATAAAGGACAGACTGTCTCCTCAAGGAGCTCCCTGACCCCTGTATACCCAAAGAGTCACCTCATAAAGGAGAGCTGAGACTGACATTTGGCAGATATCCTTCTGGGACAAAGATAGCAGAAGAAGAAAGTGGTAGCAACCCTTACTGTTCTGCAGCTGCTGCAGGTAATCCCCAGGCAAGCAGGGCCTGGAGTGGACCTCAGCAGTCCTATAGCAGAGGGGCCAGCCTGTTAGAAGGAAAACTAAGAAACAGAAATAACTTTATTATTAACAAACTGGACGTCCACTCAGAGACCCAATCTGAAAGTCAGCAACTACAAAGATGATAGGTGGATAAATCCACAAAGATGGGAAGAAACCAGTGCAAAAAGGCCAAAAACACCAAAACCAGAATGCCTCTCCTCTTACAAGGGATCACAACTCCTCATCAGCAAGGGAACAAGGCTTGATGGAGAATGAGTGTGATAAATTGACTGAATCAGGCTTCAGAAGGTGGCTAATAAGAAACTTCTGTGAGCTAAAAGAACATGTTCTAACCCAATGCAAAGACACTAAGAACCTTGAAAAAAGATTTGACAAAATGCCAACGAGAATAGAAAACTTAGAGAGGAACATCAATGAATTGATGGAGCTGAAAAACACAAGAACTTCCCGAAGCATGCACAAGTTTTAACAGTCGAATTGACCAAGCAGAAGAAAGGATATCAGAGGTCAAGACCAACTCAATGAAATAAAACGAGAAAGCAAGATTAGAGAAAAAAGGCTAAAAAGGAATGAACAAAGTCTCCAAGAAATATGGGACTATGTGAAAAGACCTAATCTACATTTGATAGGTGTATCTGAATGTGACGAAGAGAAGGAATCCAAGCTGGAAAATATTATTCAGGATATTATTCAGGAAAACTTTCCCAACCTAGCAAGGCAGAACATTCAACTCCAGGCAATACAGAGAACACCACAAAGATATTCCTCAAGAAGAGCAACCCCAAGGCACATAATTGTCAGATTCACCAGAGTTGAAATGAAGGAGAAAATGCTAAGGGCAGCCAGAGAGAAAGGTCAGGTTATCCATAAAGGGAAGCCTATCAGACTCACAGCAGATCTCTCAGCAGAAACCTTACAAGCCAGGAGAGAGTGGGGGCCAATATTTAACATCCTTAAAGAGAAGAACTTTCAACCCAGAATTTCATATCCAGCCAAACTAAGCTTCATAAGTGNAGACCAACTCAATGAAATAAAACGAGAAAGCAAGATTAGAGAAAAAAGGCTAAAAAGGAATGAACAAAGTCTCCAAGAAATATGGGACTATGTGAAAAGACCTAATCTACATTTGATAGGTGTACCTGAATGTGACAAAGAGAATGAATCCAAGCTGGAAAATATTCTTCGGGATATTATCCAGGAAAACTTCTCCAACTTAGCAGCGCAGGCCAATATTCAAGTCCAGGAAATACAGAGCAGCCCTCAAGAAGAGCAACCCCAAGGCACATAATCGTCAGATTCACCAGGGTTGAAATGAAGAAGAAAATGCTAAGGGCAGCCAGAGAGAAAGGTCAGGTTACCCACAAAGGGAAGCCCATCAGACTCACAGCAGATCTCTCAGCAGAAACCCTACAAGCCAGAAGAAAGCGGGGGGGCCAATACTCAATATCCTTAAAGAAAAGAACTTTCAACCCAGAATCTCCTATCCAGCCAAACTAAGCTTCATAAGTGAAAGAAAAATAAAATTCTTTGTGAACAAGCAAGTACTCAGAGATTTCATCACCACCAGGCCTGCTTTACAAGAGCTCCTGAAAGAAGCACTACACATAGAAAGGAACAACCAGTATCAGCCACTCTAAAAATATACTAAAAAGTAAAGAGCATCAACATAATGAAGAATCTGCATAAACTAATGGGCAAAACAGCCAGCTAGCTTTAAATGGGAGTATCAAATTCACACACATCAATATTAACCCTCAATGTAAATGGACTAAATGCCCCAATCAAAAGATACAGACTGGCAAATTGGATAAAAAATGGCCCCATTCTTAAAAGGCTTCCAGCTTAGTTGGGGAGATAGCAAATATGGTCAGGTAATTTTTAAATTAAAACTAGAGAAATTTGTTAACTGTAAAATGGAATGAGAAAATTGGACTTTGAATGCTTTCAGACTAAATGTTATAGTCTTACAAAATTGCTCAATTCCTACTGAAGATTAGCCATGAATTCTGATGTGAAAGAACTCATGACTTTAGCTAAGGCATCCTATTGTCTAGCAGAAGTTTCTTCAATAAAGGAAATGTTTGATAATCTGTGCCATCCAATAAGATAGCCACTAACTACATGTGGCCTTTGAGCCTCTGAAATGTGATTAGTGCAAAAAAAGAAACTCGGCATCATAGCTCATTAGGGAAGTGCAAAATAAAATCAAATTAAGATACTACTATACACCTTTTAGAATTGCTAAAACAACTGATAATACAACATGCTGGTGAACATGTGGGACAACTGAAGCAAAACTCATATGTTTCTGGTGGAAATACAAAACAAGATAGTCACTTTAGAATACAGTTTTCAAAAAAAAAAAGAAAATGAAATTTTGATTTTAGATTAGCCTGGCACAGAGGTGCATGCCTGTAGTCTCAGATACTTGGTAGGGTAGCCTGAGGTGGAAGGGTGGCTTGAGGTGAGGAGTTTGAGGCTGCACTGGGCTATGATCACATCACTGCATTCCAGCCTGGGCAATAGAGCACGACTCCCATCCTCCCATCCTCGCTCCCTCTTTCTCTCTCTCTTTTCTTTCTTTCTTTAAAAAAAAAAAAAAAACTACGTACCAAACAAACATCACTTTTTCAATTAAAATGTTATTTTTAAAGGTTTAAATCTCCAAATTTCATGGCTCTTTATAAATATCACCTTTTAAATGTCTAAATTTTTAACTCATTACAAAGTTCTTCAAAATAACAAATTCATATTCTGAGCCCCAAACTGTGCACCTTTTTTTTTAGTGATGAGGACATCCCTTATATCTCAGAATGCACACATATTCTGCCATTAATAACACAGAATGAAACCGACGACCAAGATACATTCCCAAAGAATTAGGGGATTATGCCTAAGTTGCATTCGGATTCCGATGTGACTGCTAATGTCCTTAACTCGGACTAGCTCCGTCCTCCGGACCCACACCCCGTAGACCCGATCCTAGCTCACTCGCTCGACCACGGAGGGCCTCTGGGTGCAGTGACAGAGCGCAGGGCCGCGGCGACCCCGCCCCGCGCCGCGTCATTCGGCGCCCTGCGGCTCGCGGTGAGCACCTACCACTGGCAGAGCTGCGAGGGAGAGGCCGCGACCCCTTCCCGCTGCCTGCGGCCCAGCGCCGGCACTCAGAGCGCCCCTCCTGGCGCTAAATTTAAAAACGTAATACCAACAGCAGGCTGGTCCCGGAAACGAAACGAAACTCGGCCCGCGGGCCTCCTCCCGGGCGCTGCCGGTCCCTCTGCGCGCCGTGCCACCCGGAACAGACCCTTCTCCCGCCATTTTCGGCGGGGCTGGGAGGCTGAGGCCAGCGGCGCCCCGGAAGAGGCGGGCGGCATGGCCGCCGGCGTGGACTGCGGGGACGGGGTTGGCACCCGGCAGCACGTGTTTCTGGTTCCAGGTAAACACGCGCGCCCGGGCGGCTGGGCTTGTCACAGAGCTGGCGGAGCGGCCTGCGACCCCGGGCGCGCCGCCCTGCACCCGGCTGCTCCCACTCCCTGGCCCGGTGCGGGATGGGATTCTCTCTGGGTAACTGGCCCCGCATCTTGGTCACACGTCATAGCCAGCCGCGGTTTTCAAACCCGGAAGCGCTGAAAAGGATCGTGTTTCCCGGGCTCTGATCGCCGGTGGCTCGGGTGGGCGGGCGGAAGCTGACCCAGCCTGCCGGGAGCCACATGGGTTCCGCGTCACTGGCGCTCTGCGGGCCCCGGAGGTTTCTGCCCTTGGGGGTAACTTGGTGTCCCCCACCTCACAGCTGGCCCTGCTTCTGAGATCCTACAGGGCTGGAACCAGGGATCCAGTAGGCTCGGAGTGGCCTCAGACGGTGCGCAGTTTTTACAGGAAAGCAAAGGGACAGGCCCGCGGTGGCGAGGCAGGAGGGAAGGGGGATGGGAGTCGTGGTTAGGCCAAGGGTGGTTCAAAGCGATTCAGGAGGATAATGACCACAGGAGTGTAGGAGCCGGGCCTTTCAGCCCCCTGTGTGGATGATGACAGGCCATCCAGGGTATGTGAGGCTTGGGACAGTGGACAGCCAGTGCCACACAAAGAAGGACCCATTAAGTGACAGAGTAAAAGGAATTTGGCCTAGGGAGTGCAAGCCAGAAAGGTTTGGTTTTTTCATATATGTATAACATTGGAAAAAAGGAAAATCTCATGTTCACTATATTAAATTTTCAGTTTAGCTCAGCAAATGCAGAGTGTTTGTTGCAGTAAATATACTCTGATACCAACATACTTTCCCAGGAATTTAGAGTTTTATTGGTGATCATTGAAAACTCTTACATGACAGACTGTCAAGACTATTTTTTGCCTCTAAAAAAAAAATACATAAAGTGTACGAATTTTAAGTATGCAACTCACTGAACTTTGCATACATATACACTTCCCCAGTAACCATCCCCCAGTTCAAGATGTATACCCTTTCCAATAGCTCCTCATGCCTGTTCTAGATAGCCCCAGGAACCGCTATGCTGACCTCTGTCAGCAGAGAGAAGTTTTGCCTGTTTGGATAAGAGTGTACCCCTTTGTGTCTGGCTTCCTTCACTCTGAAAGATTCATCTATGGTTTGTGAAAATCATTCATGTTGTAGCAGTTTGGTTGTTTTTTTCATTGCTGCTTCTGTTTAATGGTATGAGTAGCCATACTATTTATCTCTTCTACTGTGGATGGGCATTTGGGTTGTTTCCAGTTTGCAACTATTACAAGTTACACTTCTGAGAACATTCCTTTAGGCGGCTTTTGGTGGACATAGGCACTCATTTCTCTCGGGTGTATACCCTGGAATGGAATGGCTGGTTGTAAGTCCTTGTGTGTTTAGCTGTAGTTGACGCTGTTAAATGGTTTTCCAAAGTGGTTGTACTGATTTATATGCCCATAAGCAGTGTATGAGAGTTCCCGTTGCTACACATCCTCAATAAAGATGTTTGGGGTGATAAAACAGCTAATGTGAAATTCGGGGTTTTGACAGACTCTTGCAAAGGGCTACCTGTATACATGCTTTCATTAGAAAAATCATCCTTTCTTCTCACTTTGTCACATCAAGACAATTAGATTTTCAGGGAATTTAATCATTCTTTCAGAATCAAGTGTATTATTATTATTCAGATACACACAATAGCTGATGATAATTTGAGCTTATTATTTTGTTGTTCAGTTTAATCAGTATTGAGATCGTCATTTTAAAACTGTGTTTGTGTCCTTATTGTATTAAACACAAAACCCGCAAAAGAATTAAATATTGATTGTATCCCTGAAAATTGTAGGTTTTAGTATATCTACTGCTGGGTTGTGAGAAGAGTTTCAGTCGAGTTTCTGTTCAAAGCTGAGATCTACTGTGACCTTTTAAGGCATTGGGGGAGGCTGCGCAGCTGTCGGGAACTGCTAGAAAGAGCTGTGTGGTCAGGCTGGCAGGAACTTTAACAGTTAAAAACGAGCTACCGGCTCCTGCAATTTTTCCTTCTTGCCTTTAGTGCCACCTGCAGGCTCTGAGGGTACAACACGGTTTGATAGCGACTGCAGTGCAACAGTTCTCAAGCTTGAGGGCATCAGTCACCTGGGGAGCTGGGCCCGGTCCCCAGAGGTTCTGGTTCAGTAGGTCCTGGGCTGGGGCCAAAGAATGTGCATTCCCTGGAGATGCTGATGCTGCTGGTCCAGAAACCTCTGCCCCCACACCAGGAACCACTGCAGTGGTCCCAAAGACCAGCCTTTGGGAACTGGATTGGGATATAGGAATGGGCAGCCTCATGTGTGGCTCACTTTGTGCTGGGCCAGAATTTATGTGGTCAAGAAAGTACATGTAAGTGCAGAGTATGAGGCTCATCTTCCCAGCTGTAGCTGTTGGCTTTTACAGAAAATGAGAAATCAGCCTGCTTAGTTATACATTCAGGAGTAGGAAACCATTCAGGTCCCTCGGCTGAGGGACCACCATACTCCAGTAAAGTTGGGCCCTTACTAAAGAAAACAAAGATTATTAAACATTTTTCAGAAGTATTTGGTGGAGGCGCTCTGTATTCAGATTTAGAAAACTTTTGGGCTCTGAAGAACTTACTCAGTATACTCAAAAGTGAGCACATGAACCCACAGGCAAACAGAACTTTGAAGGGGTTTATCCATGAGACAGGGTAAAGCTGCCTAACCTTGCAATGATACTTTTTTTCCAACATTTAATTCATGCTGTTCATCGAGCTGCCTGCCACAGCACTGTGTTATATCTTGAAGGATATATTTAAACGTTCGATTTCGGTATCTTTGCCTCTAGTTTTCAGTTTGTTTAGAGAAGCTGACTATCTCAGATAAACAAATCTGGAACTTGGAAGAGATACTTGTGAGATATTCAGACTTGGGACATTGGTTTTCATAGACGGGTGAAGACAGAACCATTTCCCGTTTCAACAAGGCAAGCATTTCTTTTAGTTTGGAATGGTTTTAAATGTTTCTGTAAAATGGCCTGGGAATACTAGCCTCTTTGCAGTTTTAATTTCTATAAGATGCCGTTAACATTTTTACTTTTTGGAAAATAGTAAAAGTTTCCGTCCCTCTTTTTCTATCCTAAAAGTAAATGTTTGAGTCATATTTTTAACATTTTTCTGAAGTCCGTTTTTCTTGTTAATATTACTAAGTTGGGATGCACCCAGGTGTGAGAAGTCACCTGATTCACTGCCTATAGGATAGAAGACTGCATTTATTGCTTTTGGGGGCTGAACAATTAATTGGGTTCATCTCCAAGGAAATGTTAATTGGGAAACCCTAACATTGTGTATGAAAAAAAAAAAAAAAGAACAGAAATCATTTCAGGCCCATTAAAACAAAAAGCAAAACTCATTTGGGTTCACTTAGGCTGATTAAAATGTTCCTTAATCAGTTCCCTGATTATAAAGTCCTGAGGGGAAACTGGACTTCAACTTAGATTTTCAGTTTAAGACAAGTTTTGCAATAAAGTTATCCCCCTTTATTTCATGAGTATACATGTTAAAAAGTATTTTAGGAAAGATTGCACTTATTTATTTCCCCACAGAAAGTAGTTTCTTGGAGTTAAAAGATGGCTTGCTTTTTGGGAGGTAAGAATCCCTGCCTACCTTAGACATTTCAAATACAATAATAGCGTTTTATATGAGGCATCATTCTTATCACAAATGATTATACCAGAGCTGTCTCTCCAAGTGGAATGCAAAAATAGATGTGGAAGGATTGTATAAATTCATGCATTAGAACTATGTTCTAATTAAACGTTTTTAAAAAGAAATTAAATTTAAAAGGGAAAACTAATTTTCTTATTTAATGATGGAGAGAATTTATATTAATGTTTTTTCTGATTATAATCTTGAAGCTTTTTTTTTTTTTTTGGTCCACCAACTGGCATAATTATAGCTTTTTATAAGCCCAAAAGAAATGCCTCTTGTTTTGTGGAAGAAAAACAAGTAAAAGTTTAAAGTGTATGACAAAGGAAGAACTAATATAGGTTTAATTGACTTTTCAGTGACCCTAAGAAACACTGTTTTCCCTTCTTTACCTAATGGCACACGGTTAATCTCCGAAGAAAAACTTAAGCAGGATTTTTGTTCTTTGTCAGAACAGTATGTATGTATATGTTTGTGATTAGAAATACACCTGAGGGCCGAAAGCTTCCTTATTTCCAGAAGAGATGAACTTCACTTGGCAAATGATAGAGAACCTGGCTAATTCAAGTGCTGATTTTAGACAACCTCAGAATAATTAAGCTCAGCTTTTTGGAAGTTGTGTCATTTGCCAAATAGTCTCCTGCAGGCAGTTAGCAACGTAAGAGTCTCAAAGTTTTCCAGCATAGAGCATGTTTAACATTTTCCACACGAATCCTCAGTCTGGCTTTGATTTTGCGAAATGTTTTTTGGTGGCACCTGACTGACCTTTCTCACATGGCCACTGGATCCGCTTCCCTTGCTGTCTATCTGAGCACCTTCTGAAGTGGATAGACTGTATCAGTTGCCAGCTGGTGTAACCAGGCTGTTTCTAGAGCCTGATCTTGTCCCCTTAGTAATTGTTCCAAAATACTTGGATATTTATAAGTAAAAACTCATGACTCCCACATATTTGTCCTCCAGGTCACACAAAAAAAAAATTCATAAAAGGAAAGCAAGCAGTGTTCATGATTTTTTATTTGAGTAACAGAATAGGAACTGCATGGATTCTCCCACATCCTCTGAGCTTTAACTGTGATGCTGAAGAGCAAACAACTCAGTCAGTGTGCTCTGAAGCCTGGCTATAATAACACACACTTAAAAACCAGATTTATGCCATTTATTAGCTCTGTGTCCTTGGACAGTTTGCCTCCTCACTATAAAGCCTCACTTTCATCATCTCTACAGTGGGGAGAGTACCAGTCTCGTGGGGTTATCTGTGGTTCGAGTTACTCATAAGCCTTCTTACACCTCGAGGTTTTAGTCCTGGCCCAGGGACAGAGTAGATATTTCAATAAATATTTACTGAACAAATAAAACTCTCACATTCCATTTCTTCCTGCAATGTCTTTGCTTTTTCCTCCCCTTCTACTTCTATCCAAATTCTCCTCTTTCCTCAAGGCTCTGTTCAACTTTATTTTCCACAAAGCTAAGCCATTTGCTCCAGCCCAACTTCTCTGTCTTGACTTTGTGTCTGCCTGGAATCCTGCCTGCTCTTCACTTTATTTACCTCGCAAATTCCTACTTATCCTTTAAACCCAGCTCAGGTTATCACCTCTACCAGGAAGCCTTCCCGTGGGCCTCTCCTGTTGTTACTGCCCAGGTGAGAGGTACCTCTTTGACCACCTACACATTTCATTGTGATTATTCATTTAAGTTGCATTTTTATATAAATATGTATTGAACACCTAATACATGGCAGGAGCTGGAAAGAATTGAAGTGTGTTCTCCATGAGTGGCCATTCACTTCTCAGTGTGGGCACCTCAGCCGTCAGCTTCAGAGCATGACCTCAAAAAGTAGAGTATGTCACTTAGGATTTCCAGGGTTTGGTTCAGAGGTACCTTTATGACTTCCTTTCCTAAGGATGACCGTTTGCTAAAGCAGCATGGGCCACCCAGTGGCAAGGGGATGTAAGGGATGTTCTGGTCCCTGTTTCATTATCTGTCCCTGAAACAACTAAGCTGAAGTCTGGCTAAATCTCCCCAACCAACGCTGACTCCGCCGAGGGCCTAGGTCTCAACATGTGGTAAGGCTCTCCTGCGTGATCGTGATCGGCTACAATTGCCTGATTGTTTTTTAAAGTTTTTTTGTTGTTGCTGCCCTTTTAACCTGCTTTTGACCAGTTAACTCTTCATTTACACGTTTTTTCTCCCAGTCTTTTTTGTTGTTGTTGTTAATAACTTTAAATAATTAGAATAATAGTACTTACCCAGTATAGAAATTCTAGTAATACAGGAAAAAAAATAAAGAATAAAATAATTTGTCCATCATCCTGTCACCCAAAATAACGATTTTGGAGATATTTCTTTCCAGTCTTCGTTTATATTACAAAATGAATTCCAGTGTTCTTAAATTTTTCTTATTTTTCTATTTTTGCCTTTTTTTCACTGTTTTACTTATTTAATGTAACATAACATTTTGGGGTTACATAAAAGTTTATATGGTGCAGCTCTACATAGAATTGGATAAAGACAGTTCAGTTGATTTAATAAAGAGGTGGGGGCTGTTTTTTTTTCTCTTGATTTTGATGGGGACAGAAACTCACACAGCCAAATTGACAAAGAGAATTTGTATTTTACACTTTGTATTTTACATTGAAGAGGTGATTACATATCACTTCACACAGTAAACAGTACATATTTTGAATGGGTTATCTTTGAAAGTGGATAAAGATTGAAAATACAAATAGGTGCAAAAGTGGTAAAGATGCATTTACAGAACTATATTGGACACAGTGGCAAACTAGAATGTTTCAAAAGTCATTCAAAGCAGGTTGCATCTTTGAGGACAGCCATAGCCTCCTGCAAACATCCCTTAGTGTGCTTTCCTTCAACAGGATACTGATTTGAATGGCTTGTGAGTCTGCTTTAGTATAGCAATTGCCATTTTTTAATGTGGGGTCAATGCACCTGGGTTGTGTGTTACAAAAGCAGACTTGAACTTTCTTGGGAGTTTCTTAGCAGGTTCACATCTTTCCAGAAAGGAGCAGGGGTAGCGGTGTGGTGGAGAACATCGGACATCTGGCCCTAGGGTGTTGCAGTAGCAGGAGTTCAGGGCTTCTGCCTCTCTCAGTGTTAACTTCCGCTTCTCAAACCGACTTCCTCCATTTAGTGGAAAACAGGCTTCACGTGATTCCCAAGCCTCGGATCTCCTGGTGTCTGTTGGGTGGGGCCTCTCCTCTTAGTTCCAGTTTGAAACCTTTCAAAACAGCCTTCTGACTGGTCCTTCTGTGGTCACATGCTGTCCCACCCTTCCCCAATTAGTTGTAGCCAGAGAGGGCAGGCTTCACTATAAACACATGGTGGGAGAGGAGGACAAAGTGGGTACTTGAGGATAAAGAGTGCTTTTCTGGAGAAAGGAAAGGGTGCAGGATAGACAGCACAGGAACTAGCTGCCACGTCATTCACCAGTCGAACTCTGAGCTCTGGCCAGAAAACTCAGCCACTCGTAAGCTGCCTTGCCTAAGGCCAACATTAGGGGTTTCTCAGTTGCTGTAGTCTCTTTGACTGGCTTGTATATAGGTATGGCAGAGGTTTATTTGTATGGAGAATTGGGTTCTAGCTGTAACTTACACTTGCTTTCATTTGGTCAAAGTTTGTATAATTTTTAGGAAGCCCAGCTTCTAGGCCTACACCTTCTAGCTGTTATAACTTTGCAGTACACTTTCATGGAACTGTATTTGACCCTCTTGATGACCTTGGGAAGCAGTTAAGGCAAGCTTTACTATCACCACTTTGCACATAAGGAAGCCAAGACTCAGAGAAGTCAAATAATCTGTCAACAGACAATAGAAATCCAGTGGCAGAGACTGTCAGCTCTCTCAAGTCCTTTTCCAGGACTCCTGCTACGTGCCAGAGGCCACTCTGCTGACTGAATAATGATACCTCGCCACTGTGGGGGAGACCAGAGGACCAGGAAAGGCTGGAGTTCCCTGCTCTCAGTTTGATGACCGGGGATCAGATACACCTCCTCCCCTGGAGCCAGACCTGGTTGCTCTGTCACTGCAGTCAGGACTGCCTTTTCTAGCACTCCAAAATTTTTCCTGCTTCCCACATAGTTCATGCTCTGTACCAATATGTTTGCTGGTCCTTGTGGCTCTGAGTTGGCCATGAACCTGAAAGTTTTTACTGGCTTCTCCAGTGCACAGGCCATTCCTGGAAACATGGTTATTGATAGGGACAACCCTGAAAGAATGGAGATTTTGTCTTCTATGGTCCTGGTGAAGGCTAGTTTCTAATTTTTATTTTTTTCTCTAAAGCTTCAAAGGAAAGTTATGCTTAGGGGAACGTATTACTTCAGTAATCACGTAATTTTCCTGGTACGTGCCTCTCTTGCCTTCTTGGTTTGCCTGTTGTAGACTTTGAAGAAACAAAGAGCTTCAAAGCCAGGAAAATGACCCAGATCTCTTTGACAGCAGTGCTAATGTTTTGGGAAAGGAAGGCATATAGTTATTACTGAAATTAGTGTTCCTGGAAGCTGCTAGTAACTTGAAAATTATGCTGATTTGTCTTGCATGCATTGTATTTGTGTCCTACCAAAGTGTTTCCAAGGAAGTATCTGGCAAATAGGCAGGAGGGTGCTGAGGGCAGGGGGAGGGGGAGTGTCTGAATATATTCTGATGGCTGAAGTCTGAAGAAAATGAACTGGAACCTATTTAGGACGTAGTATTGCATGAGTGTGAGAGTAATAATCTCATCTCTCTTTTTCTTTTTCTGTTGGATCTTCTTGAGAAACCTGAATAGCCTTGATATGATATCTAAAAATAAAATGAATGGTGCTTTGATGTCTGTACTTTCACCTCCATGTAACAATGGGTGTATGTTTCTCAGAGCTTATCTCCTCTGTGCCAAAAATCAGACAGGCTCAAGAACAAATGTCCATTGCTTCCAAGTCATAAGAACAACTGGCAAAAAAGGTGGCTGGCTGTCTCTCTCTTGCTTCTCTTGTGTCTCTGAACTTTAAATGCTTTGAAGAAACTTGTCTTAACCAAGAGAGGGATAAGAAAGAGCTGCCAAGGTTGAGAAAACTACTTGATAAATAACTTCATATCAACTGTACAACAACCTATACTGTATGGTCTGTAGATGAAAAATCATGTTCCATTTTGGCTTGTACAGTACTTTGTGGCTAACTTTAAAAATTACAGAATGGTTAAGTCTGTGCATTGATATGTGCCGTATAACCTAATTTTTAAGCATTAAAATGTCACAGATATGTGGGGGTGGTGTGGAGAAGTATATGCAGCTATGTATAGAATATAGAATATTGTAAACCCTAATAGAAAGATCAGTTTTCTTTTCTTGCCATTGGTCAAATTTGACTCCATCTGTTTTTATCACTAGGTGTTTCTGATATCCCACAACCAGTTTCTCCTGTCCTTCTTTTATGTATTTTTTGATCCTGCCCCTTTCTCTTTTTCATTTTCCCAGCTCTCCGTCCTTTCTCTTCCTTCTGCCCCCTGGCTATGTGGTCTACTGGCTGGATTGTAGTAGCTGGATTGCAGCTGATTAGATGACCCTGCTGGTTTTTGAGGATGAAGAGTACAGGACAAAGGGGGGGAAAGTTTGAAATGTTTACATCGTAGAATAGTCATGTAAAGATCATCGTGCTTTCAAGCTTCAGTTTGTGCTTTTTAAGTTAAGAGATATGGGTCTTCAGATCAAGAATTCTTTACAGTATTATAGTTTAAAACGTTGGCTCTGATAATAGTTGACTGAGTTTATAATCCTGGCTTTACAGTTGACTTGCACTTTGATCTTAAGGCAAATTTTTCATCCAAAAAAAGTGGAAATTAATATAGCACCTATTATGTGTACAATATAAAAGACTTAAACAGTGCCTGGTAGACAGTAAATGGCCAATGCATATTAGCAATTATCTTTTATTTTACATTCATTAGACACAGTTTTCTCTTCGTCGCTGTTATGTTTTCTTTAAAGTACAGATGTCAGGAAAGTAGCAATCAGAGTTTCCTTGTTTGTTGAAGGTTTTTCTTTTTCTTTTTCTTTTTTTTTTTTTTT